AGTGACGCGGGCACGCTGGGCACGCTGGGGGCGGGGCCACGGTCATCCAAGGGAAAACTCTATGGTTTTCCCTCAGATGGTCGTGGCCCTACCCCAGCGTGCCCGGCGTGCCCGCGTCACTTCCGGGCAACGTGGATGCGGCGCGCGCTCCAGCCGCCAGCTGGGAGTCCCCCGCTGCGGCTGAATTCACACTTGGCAATCCTAATCCCGCTACATGGGATATTCTTTGTCCTCGCGCACCATCCACTGTGCAGGCTAGCCGTGGCACCACACCCTAAAAAAACCTTGCACACAACATGCAGGCCGCTGCCAACTGGACATCACACCGAATGAGAGCTGCCATGTCCCACCCCGCCAGCCCGGGACGGTGACCCTACTACACCCCGCTTCCCCCACCATCCAGCCTTACTTTCCACTCCTGCCGTCACTCTTCCCTCTCTCCTTAGGGGGCGACAGAGCAATGGATCCGTGCTTCCTCTTCCTGGGCCTTCCTGGGCCTCGTCTTCCCAAGCTTCTACTTTTCTCGTCATGCTTTTCCCTTAAAAAAAACCACACGCTTGACTGTTAAACCAAAAGCAAAACTAAAATGCAAAAATAAAGCAACGGGCTGGGGGGAGGGGGGGGGAAGCCGCGGAAAAACCCAAACCTAGGACCGAACAAAACCAAAAGGCCCGAGTCGTGAGCCTCCATCTATCGCCAAACCACTACGCTGACCGGTGCAAAAAAATTCCAAATCCTCCAGGAAAGCTAACAGCGTAGCGCCCACGCGGTCCTCAAACATGGCTAGCATGGCTCATATCCACAAACCGTAGGGGAATTGCCTGTTCCTCCTCAATGCTTCATTTCAGCACATTCATGTACCACGAGAGGGACCAGGAAGGCCGAGATGGTGCAAGTCTATGAAGGGCAGGTCGTGGGTGCCCAGCCAGACAGTCAAGAAAAGGGGGTCTGCGGCGACTTACTCTGAGTCTCTCCGACGCTGCAGCTTCACCAGTTCTCGCTGCTTTTCCTTGTACCGCCTCTGCAGCTCAGCCAACCGCATTCTGTAGTCCAGCTCCATGGCATCCATGTTCTCAATAGCCGACTTGATGGAGTACATCTAAGATGAAGGGGGGAGCCGGCCAGCAAGGATTTGGGGGCAAAGGAAGGCAAAAAGGTCAGAAACATACAAGAATGCACCTGATAGGGTTGCCATCCACACGACGGGGGCAGGGGTTCCCCTGCTTTTGGGGGTCCCAATCCACCGCCAGCCCTCTGGCGGATGGGGAAGCCCCGCCCCCGGATGGCCCCATCAAGCACGTCACATGGGGGATGCTCTAGCATTTGGCTAAAACCTCTATGGTGACCATTGATTTTGTTGTCCCCTGCATGACCTGCCCGGCGCGATGGCGTCAGTTAGAGGTGAGGTCATCACAGTGTGCACAAAGTGCACGCACACCAGGAACCCAGGCTGGAGCCCCCCTGCCAATAGCCAGCTAAGGTAAAGGTTCCCTTGCTCGAAAGCCAGTCGAGTCCGACTCTAGGTTTGCAGTGTTCATCTCCGTTTCAAAGCCGAAGGGCCAGCGCTGTACGAAGATGTTTCCGTGGTCATGTGGCCGGCGTGACTAAACACCAAGGCGCACGGAACGCTGTTACCTTCCCACCGAAGCGGTACCTATTTATCTCCTTGCAATCTCTTGCTTTCGAACTGCTAGGTTGGCAGGAGCTGGGGCTAGAGATGGGAGCTCACTCCGTCATGCAGCACACTCGGGTCTCGAACTGCTGAACTACCGACCTTCCACAGCCTGCAGTTCAGCGTCTTAACCACTTGAGCCACCGCAGCTCCCTAATAGCCAGGTAAGACCTGGCAAACCCTAGCTTCAGAGTTTTTGACACAGGGTTAGAATGTTTTTATTTAACAGGGTCTGGGGGTGATATGCTTCTGTTCCATAATAGATCTGTTTGCATATATGGGGGTTTTTTGGGGTGGGGTAGAACCTGTGTAAAAATAAATCTAGATTATTTATTTTTATCCTAGATTATTTATTATTATTCATTTTTATTCTTCTGGGCTGACGCCTGTTTTGACTATTCCCATTGCCTGAGGGTTTTTTTCACTGACTATAACGCTTCCTTTAATATTTCGACCAACTCGGTCGCTTTTACTGGAATGTCGTTTTAAGGAAATTTGATTTTGTTGTCTGCCTCTGGTTGAAAAAGCAAGACAAAGACATTTTCGAAAGAAATGCAACCAGGTTCAATCGTTTCTTTCAAAACGATCTTTTGCTCGTACTGAATCTGCAACGAGTTCTGACTTGTAGGGAGTCCCATCACCCCATGTAGAGAATGCTCACTTTGCATCTATAAGATCCCAAGTTCAAACCCTGACTTCTGAGTGTTGGTGATTGTACTTGTTTATTATTGTATTGTTTTACTGCACTGCTTGGTCAATTGGCCGTAACAATAAATTTGAAACCCTGACTTCTCCTGTAAAAGGAGTAAAAGTTCTTTTGCTTTAGGCCTCCGATAGCTTCTAACGCTGAGAACAGACAGCACGGAGCAAGACACACCAGTAGCATTAAGCTGTGTGGCCATGTTTCCCGAAGATAAGTCAGAAAATTCCATCCCCGTGACCAGGGGTCATTTCGTAGAAAAAGAGGTGCAGGAGCTCATTAGCATAACTCATTAGCATAACCTATTTGCATATGCCACACCCCCTGACATCACCGGAAGTGCGTCAGAAGGCAACACCCACCGCTCAGGCTCCACTGGACTGTTTTGGATTGCTAGCTATTGGGGGGGGGACATGCAGATATGTCCTCGCAGAGGAGGGAGAGCTTGTACCTGAATAAAAATTGGTCTTAAAGGTGCCACTGGACTGTCTTGGACCGGGGAGGGCAGGGGGGGGGCTCTGCAGCTTACCTGGCTGCTTCTTGCTCTGAGGGCTGCTGGGAGCAGGGGGTGGGGCTTGTTGCATGTGCCCGCCCCCTGGGCTCTTTACTGCCAGAGCTCCGCTCCTGTGCGTTCCTGCAGGAAATGACTTGATTCTAGGTAAGATATGGACAGAATTTGCTGATTTTTCTTATTTATTATAGTTTGCTTCTTCCATTCACAATCCCAGCACATTTCCCCCCTGCCCCATATCCACCTTCCCTCTTTTATAAAGCCAGTGCTGAAGGACTACTCACGGGTTCATCTTTCTTCTGCATCCAGCTGTACTTTTTGTTGGGGTTCAGCTCTCGAGGGAGGCGGATGTTCTTCAGGCTGTCCATGAAGGGGTCTGAGAGGACCTCCATCAGCATTTGAGTGCTGGCAGCCAACAGGCTCTCCAAGGTGGGCCGGACTGGGAAGCTCTCTAAGTCTGCTGAAGAGACAAAACTGGTCACTCGGACAAGGACGGGTAAGCCTCGGCAAAGGGCCGAGGAGACATGTATCCATTCTGGAGCTACCTATAACATTCCATACGCAGGCAGCAGAACGGGACCCTGCAAATTGTAAGCGTGTGACAAGAAGTGACATCACACCCAGTCGCGCAACAGGAAGCTGATGGTCAGTAGATTCAGGACGGACATAAGGAAATACTACTTTACACAGAATGGAGTCGGCCGCCCATATTTTACTCCATTGTCCTATGTATGACGTAGAGAGACAGCAGCTGTTGATACCCCTTCTCTCACGGTTTAAACCCTTGGCTAACTACCTTACATATGCCGAGGAATTCTTGATGACGTTCTTACTGGCCGATAATTATGATTCTGTCTCACGCAATGTTGCTAAATATTGTTACTTGGTAATTAAAAAACACAGAATGTACTGTAACTTGAGCCATTGATGATGGAATTGACTGGTTTGACATTTTAGAAATTATGGATGTAAGGATCCTATGTTGTAGACTCTGTGTACTACTTCTTCAGTTTATTGTGCTGGTCTTATGACTGTTCTTAATAAATGTATGTAAATGTATGTACTTTACACAGAAAGTGGTTAAAATGTGGAATTCGCTGCCAGAGAATGTAGTGATGGTCACAGGCGTAGACGGCTTTAAAAGGGGATTACACAGATTCACGGAGGATAGGTCAATCAGTGGCTACTAGCCATGGGGATGAAAGAGAACCTCCATGTTCGCATCCAGTAAACCTTTGAATCCCAGTGCCAGGAGTCAACATCAGGGGAAGGCCTCGGCCTCTACGCCCTGTCATTGGCCTTCTAGGGGACCTGGTTGGCCACTCTGTGAGACTGTATGCTGGACTAGATGGACCACTGGTCTGATCCAGCAGGGCTCTTCTTACGGTCTTATCAGGGGAAGACCTTGGCCTCTACGCCCCGTTGTTGGCCCTCCATATTAATTGCTTGGCGACTGTACAAGACGAGATAGTGGACTAGAAGGCCCATTGGTCTGATCCAGCAGGGCTCTTCTTACGGTCTTATCAGGGGAAGACCTTGGCCTCTACGCCCTGTTGTTGGCCCTCCATATTAATTGCTTGGCGAGTGTACAAGATGAGATACTGGACTAGATGGACCCCTGGTCTGATCCAGTAGGGCTCTTCTTACGGTCTCATCAGGGGAAGACCTTGGCCTCTACGCCCTGTTGTTGGCCCTCCATATCAATTGCTTGGCGAGTGTACAAGACGAGATACTGGACTAGATGGCCCATTGGTCTGATCCAGCAGGGCTCTTCTTATGTTCTACTCCTTTCCCTTTGCTAAAAAGGAATCCTCTCAGACACTACGTGACCTCGCCACACCACTCAACTCCCTACTCACCAGTAGTAGCATTCCCTACCCAATGATTTCGCCAGGCCTCTGCTTTAAGAGTTTTAAGCACTCGCTGTTATTTCCTTTTGTCCGCCCTGAATCTAGCTGATCTCTGTGGCAAACAGCCACCAAAGTAGTATCACGGTATGGTCTAAGCCGTAGTTGGCCAGGGACCCCACAGGGGAGACCACGTAACCTGCTTTCTGAGTTTTCTAAAGGCACAGCAGATTACAGGTATAATAAATAGACACAAATCCACCCGGAAGAAGACACAGGAGAGGAAGCGAATGAGCAAAACACAGCCTGTCTCCGCAGACTGACTCAGCCCTTGCCTCTCATCCATCCATCAAGCCTTCACGGGCCCAATCCGATACATGAGTACTTCGAAATAGGTTTTGTGGTGTGCTAGCCAGGTCTCCAGGGCACGGGAAACGCAGCCCCGAACTCGCAGCTCACCTTCACTCTCTTGCCTTCTTTTCTCCAGCTCCAACTCGGCAATTTCACTCAGCAGCGTGATCCCTTGCAAAAAAGTGTGCTCCGGCGACAGGCTCGAGGAGACCTCCAGGTTCACCACTGCCGCTTGCACGACATCGTCGCTCGTCTGCAGCAGACATGCCTGAGGGAGCTCGGCAGCGGCCGCTAAGGCGTTCATGCCGGCCAGCGGGTCATCTGGTTGGATGTCCATAGGAGGCACCGGGCAGGATATGTCCTCATTCCCATAGGTGGGAGTTTCCAAGGGTGGCTCTCCCTCTTCCTGAGGAATGCTGGGAAATTCTCTTTCCTGGGGAGAGTTGACGTGAGGCAGTTCCGTCGCTAGAGAAGCTTCTTCCGGTGGAGGCGTGAGGCCCATCCTGGGCGGTTCATTGTCCTTAGATAACAACCCCCCGTCATAGCTCAGGTGGACCGGACAAGGTTCTGTGTCGACGGCAGCATCTCCATGGGTTCCCAGTTCTGCAGAGCATGCCATCACTTCATACGCGGGTTGGCAGTCCTGAAGAGGTTCTTCTTCATCTTCCGCACTGCTCAAGGCTTTGCGGTGGTGCAACAGAAGGCCGCAAGCATTCACGTCCTGAACGGGGAGGGTGACAGATGTTGCCATGTTCATAGAGTCCATGTCCTGGTCGCAGAGGTCGCCCTCTTGGATCTCATCCATCTCAACCTCGGTCTTCACCCGTTCTTCCAAAGACTCCTCTTCCTCCACAGCCTGGATGGGTTGGACGATTTTGGACGGGGAGAGGTGGATGGGCTTGACCTCAGGAGAAAGGGGCATGCGCTCAGAATCCCCGGCCGGCAGTGGGACGTCAGGGGCCAAGCCATCTGCCTCCGACGCCGCGGTTGGCTGGAGGAGGTATGGGTAGTGTCTTCTGAAGGAGGCGGGCAGCGATTGGAACGGATATCCTGAGGGAACCTCTGCAAGAGAAGGAACGGCTGGTGTGATGAACAGGGATCCACGATAAGGCGTCTCTCCTTCACCCCTAGGTGGGTTTCCTAATCGCATCACACAAATCAGCAACAAATAAGTCTCTATCCCTCAAGTTTGTGAAAATAACCTTCAAAACAATTGTTATTAAAATTGCATTATTAGTAACAGGCATCCGGGTGCTTTCACACATGCCAAACAACGCACTTTCAATCCATTTTCAATGCACTTTGCAAATGGATTTTGCTGTGTGAAATGGCAAAATCTGCCTGCAGATGATCACTAAAGTGCATTGAGAAAGTACATGATTCAACATGTGTGAAAGCCCCCATTCTTGTAATCCAAATTCCTGAAAGTGTGAAGCAGCATCCATGGTTTTCTGCTCGCTACTTTTAACCCTCCAATGAATCTGTAAGTTAGAGTTTAGGCTAAAGGACACTAACTGACCCAATGTTCGACCTCCGTTTCCCCATCCCCAGTCCAGCAGGCCAGTGGCTGAACCAAACTGTCTCTCTGAGAAAGTGTTAAAAGACCAATTTTTTAAAAGGAGAGGCACGACACCCAATGTCCTAAAAACAGGGATTTATTCTAGTGCACGATATGCCCAATGCATTATGGCATCACCCCAGGATTTCAAACTGGGATTTGTAGCTGGATTGTTAACCGCGGCCAGTACTAAGTGCGGTTTGTTGCTAGGTCAGGCTTCACAAACCACAATTTGTCAAGCAGCCCTGTCCCTGGAAGTTACCTGGCCAGAGACAGCAGCACAGGATTGCCATCCTCCCTGGTGGAGGTGGAGAGAAGGTGAGAAGCAGGCAGCCCAGGGTTCGTGCACAATCCACAATTTGTCACATTCATCCGGTAGACTAACCGGGGGGTTAGCACAATGGCTTAAACAAACCACGGTTGATCGCCGTGTCTGAAAACAGCTTAAGTGCTGTGTATTTCACCAGAGGGGGTGGGGCTATACAATCTGGGGAGGAGGGGGAGGAAGACAGGCAGGCAGGAAAGAGAAAAGGGGGGGAAAGCAGGAGAGAGAAAAAGGAACACAGGGATAAAATGCAAGGGGACTTGGCCTGGCTCGCTTACCTGGGTACAAAGCCTGGTAGGGACTGGCAGTCTCTTTCTCCCGCTCCATTTCTTTCTTCTCTAAGCTCTCAGGCTCTTCCTCCTCTTTTGTGGGGATGGCAGGGGCAGGGGGCGGAGAAGCAGGGGGCGGACTAGAAGGATGGGAGATGGGAGTAGCAGGATAGGAGAAGGCGGGCTGCGTAGGCGGCTCTTCCATCTTTTGGATAACCTCGGCTTTGAGCCCAGACACAGGTGAAGCCCTGGGAGACAGGGGAGGGGGACTCACAGCCTTGCTGTATGACGCGGAAGTGCTGTGGGACAGGACCGGAGGCTTCCGGGGTAAGAGGCCTGGGCCGGAGGAGGAGAAGCCCGCTTTGCCGCTGTCCAGGCTCCGTTTCGAGACTTTCTCTTCCATCTCCACCCGCTGTTCACTAGCTTTTAGCCTCTCCTGCTGAGAAAAGGGAGAAGGAGGAAGCAATGGGAGTGGTGATCTATGGAATGTAGCCCCATACATGCGCTTAACCTACCGATGGGACCAGGTGCGCTTAGCTCACTGCAGGATTGCACCCGCCCCTCGTTGTCCATCCTGGGTATGCAAGTTATCGATAACCCAATAAATTATTCTCCAGAAATCTTCTCGCTAGGCAATCTTCAAGGGCAGAAGGCTCAGGGTTTACTTCAGGATTTATTAGCAGTGACCCAAACGTGTCTAGACAGACTTGGAAAGAACCCAGATGTGAAAAGCTGGCTCTCTGGAATCTGGGCTTAAAGAAGGTGGCAGGATTTGCACCTCCGAGAGAGTCCAGAATCTCTTCTGACACCTTTCTAAGTAAAATCACGTCGACTGATATACTTGTGGAAAGGATGTGCAAACGAACAGAGGGAGGACTGCAGTTTCGTGCCCTGCTAGAGGGCATTCCAGAGGTACCGGACTGGCCGCTGCCAGACGTAGGACTGGGTGGGGTTCCCAACAGGGTGGCTGTGGGCACCAACGTGCCTGATGACACCTTTCCTAGCACCCACCAAGTGGTTTTAGAAAGTGGGCGGGACCAGGTGGGGCTCTTCTCCAGCAAGGCTTCTGATTGGCTGCGCAGATTTTTAAAAAATGTTGCTTCAGCAGCAACGGCCAGCACAGCACAAGGATCTTCACTGTGTGACTGAAGGTCAGCGGTGGCAGCCGTTTTGTGGCTGCGCCCACCACGCTGTGTCAGAATGCCAAAGGCTCAAAAATATTGGGGACTCCGGCTCACAGAGAGCCGTGATTGCAATTGGGTGGGGGTGGGGAAGGGCCATCACGTCACAGCCGACTTAGGGTGACCCCTGTAGGATTTTTAAGGCAAGAGACGAACAGAGGTTATTGGCCATGGTCTGCCTCGGCACGGCAACCCTGGACTTCCTCGGTGGTCTCCCATCCAAGCACGAACCAGGGCTGACCCTCCTTAGCTTCCAAGACCTGAAGAAATCAGGCCAGCCTGGGCCGTCCAGGTCAGGGCACATTCGCCACAACCAGCCACCAAAACGGCCACGGTGACTCCCATCCCCCACGTGAGGCCTACACAGGGAGGCTTGTACCCTTGTGTTCCTCTGGCAGTGGTTGCTTCCAGGTGGGAACCACCTCCCAACCACAAGCCCTACCAGTCACAGGCCTCCTCGCCCACATCCCTGAAACATGGGGCGGGTGCCACAGCAGGGCTCAGAAGGGCCACGTCTGGCTGCCAAGCCGGTGGATAACTCTGCACCAGATGAATTCTTCACAGGCCCATAGCCACAGCGGGGCCTCTCGGGGCCTGGCCCCCCAACTTGCCACCAAGGCCCTGCTACTTCCCATCCAGCCCAGGTCCCCCGAAAAATCCTTCTTTTTTGGTGCCGTGGTGTGCAGCCACACGACGCCATCACCCTCACCGAGCCGGCCTGCTGGAGGCCCGCCCCTGCCCTCATCCCGCGACCTCACCGGCCAGCCCCACCCTCCATTCCCGCACTGCTGACGGGACGCCACTAGATGGGGCACGGGAAAGAAGCAAAGTGGTGGCAGCAGGGGGGGGTCAAGCCAGCACCCCGTCTCCTGGTTTTTGTCTGTGTTGTGAACTGCGGTGGTGGCTGCCATGGCGGCGGCAGTGTCGGTGCCGGTGTGGCTCCCTCCCCGCCTGCCCCATCCCCCCTGACTTCTTTAAATGCCCCCAACTGAAAAAATCCTGGCTATGCCCCTGATCCTTCAACTCAACCCTCTTAAACCTGGTTTTGAGAACGTTACTGCAGAAGCCACAAAAACATGCAAGCTTGCAAACCCGATAGCTGCCCCGCCGATCAGTCGGCTGCCTGAGGCTTTAAGATGACTTCACTTGAAAGGCTCCTCCAACACCTACCACCAGCTGGGCGCTCCTGTGCAGTTCCATGGCATGAGCAGCCTGCTGCTGAAGGAGGTACAGTTCATGCTGGCGGAGCAGCTGCTGGTGGGACAACAGCTGGAGCTGGTGGGCGTGTTGTAGGGAGTTCCGGGCCGAGGGGTACATGGCGGGCCAGAGTGGTGGCGCCCGATCCATCAGCTCCGCTGTAGTTAAGAGACAGACACGCAGGAGATCACAACGGCATTGCTTCAAACACTTCTCCAATGTGTAGGTATACAAGCCTGGTCATGCATAAGGCAGTCTCTATCTAGGGTTGCCAGCCCCCAGGTCACAGCGGGGGTTTCCCCGCTTTGGGGGGCTCTGATCTCCCACTGGCTAGTTGACTAGCAAAGGAAACTCCACCTCCAAACAGGGACGTCGTCACACGACATCCCCAGCATGATGACGTCGACTGGAAGTGATGTCATTGTACGGCGACACCCAAGTTTTTGGGCAAACTCTATGGTTTTGAAGCCAAAAAACCATAGAGTTGTTGTCCAAAAACCAGAGCCTCGTGCATGGTGTCACCGACATGATGATTTCATTTCCGGTGATGTCACTGTGTTGGGGATGTCATACGTGATGTCCTGCCCACCCCCATAACACCCCCCAAATCCCCCCACCCCGGTGGCGGGGGGACCTGGCCACCCTATCTGCATCCAAAACAAATTCCACACTGAGGCCATACATATTCTTTCCCACAGGATGAACAAGGTAACTTGCAAAATTATACAATTTGGGGGGGCAGATTTCGGGGGGGGCCTTTGCCTAATTTACGAGGGTGGTGCTAATGAGCATAAAAGCCTTGCTTCCTGTCGGCTGGAGGCCCTGGGATTTCAGCAGGTCCTTCAAGGCTTACTCCTGCTATCCCAAGGGCTAGAAAGTCGGTTTTGGTTGTTATTGTTGAAGAAAACTGCAACGGTCAAGGGGATGCCGAATTGTCAACCGAGCACTGATTTCCTAGCTATGGCACAATCACAGAACACAAATGCACTTGTATCAAGATACCTGACCCACCTGCCTTTCTGTCAATCTACATAATTGTTCGTGACATGGAAATGTCATCATGAATGCTTCCCTCGTAGGAAAAAAAAATAGCTTTCTTATCCCTTTCAAGGATGCGTTTAGATAAACTATCCCCCCTTCCCAGCAGGCACATTTGGAACAATCCTTCCCAAGAGAAGGACACCCTTTGCATACACTCTGACTCCCGGGAGTCCAGGAGCGCAGGCTGATCTAGAGTCAGATTTGGGGAAAGATCCTTTCGAGCAACCCATTTTGTCTCGATACTCACCAAAGTGCGGCAGGTGCTCGCTGGGGATCACGACAAGCTGCCCGGACTGGGGATCCCGGGCAAACTGATAGGCGGAAGGGAGCGCTGCCCCCATGCTAGGGGGGAATCCTGGAGCCATGCCTTGGTGCAAGGAGGGGTGTCCCAGGCCTGAAGTGGGGGGAGACGCTCATTAGATCAGGGACGGTACGGGAGGAAAAATAACTGCTTGCATGCATCGGGGACCAGATAACGCAACTCCCTTTGCGACAACCAGTCCACCCACTCTGCATAGTAAACTGGATGCATGATGATTCTGTCATCCGAGCCAGGTTCATCTAACATGTCTGTTGTTGGCGTGAGTGGAGCAAAGACACCCGCAATGCTCTGGAGATGCCTGAGCAGACTTTTTAAATTGGACCACCTTAAAAAGGGGCTGTAATGCTTCCAACGAGCCGGGCAGAGAAAAGACATGGGATGCTTTCACACGTGCTAAATAATGCCGTTTCGATCCACTTCAGCGACTGTTTGCAAATGGATTTTGCCATTTAACGCAGTAAAATCCAGTTGCAAAGTGGATTGAAAGTGTGTTATTCACTTATAGTCTCAAAATAGAGAAAAATCCCCCGACAATATCACAGTTGTACAACCGAATCTGGGGTTATTTTATTTTAAAGAAAATGTCTCTTACTTTAACAAATGCATCTCCTTTAAGCTATAATAAGAAAATAGTAGCAGTTTGGTACCCCGTTATAAGTTTTATGATAGAAAAAGATATTATTCCAAATAATCCCCTTTATCACAACATGATTTATTTTAGTTGGTTACAAAGTGTAACGAATATTATATCGTACGAATATATAATATTGGGGGGAAATCAAATAAAGCAAAATTATGTATGTTAAGTCTGTTTTGAAGAATTGTAAAGTTGAAATTAAAAAGTTAATAATTTTTTTTTAAAAAAGAAAGTGCATTGTTTAGTGTGTGTGAAAGCGCCCCACGGTTTCAATGCAACCGTAAATCTTCCATACGTTTCTGGGACATTACTGTCCTACAACCATGAGAACTGACAACTGTTATTATTGTTGTTGTTGTTGTTATTTTGGTCTGACCTGGATAGCCCAAGCTAGCCTGATATTCTCAGATCTCAGAAGCTAAGCTGGGTCGACCGTGGTTAGTATTTGGATGGGAGACCACCAAGGAAGTCCACGGCTGCTCTGCAGAGGCAGGCTATGGCAAACCACCTCTGTTCATCTCTTGCCTTCAAAAATGGGATTATCATAAATCAGGTGTGACTTCACAACGCTTTTCACACATTTTAAGAGATGGGAATGAAACCTGAGATCGGCCCCGGTCACACGGGCAGGAAAATGGAGGGGGGAAGCGTGGCTGTTTGCCCCGGAGCAAAATAACGCGCGGTTGCGCGATCAGACGTCCCGTAGAGGTCCCGTCCAGGTCCCGTGGTTAGGGGGGAGGTGCCGATCACAGGACAATCCTGCGGCGCGGCAAAGAAGCGGTCTCTCTAGCAAAAGGCTCTGTGGGTTTAACCCCCTCCAGGGCTGCAGAGGAATGCAAACTGTGTCCTCCTATCCAGTCCCCTCCAGGAGGAGCTTCAGCCGGGCCGCCCTCCCGCCACGCCCCCCCTGCACCTCCCCCTCTGCCGCCCGGTGCAGAGAGTTCCTCTCGAGCAGGCCGAGCCAGGAGTGGGGAGGGTACGGAAAAGAGGAGGGGGCTGTGTTGTTTGTTTTTAAATGAAGTGTGCGCATGCGCTGTTGGGTGCTTGTGTGCATCCTGTGGAGACTTGGGGGAAAAAAACTTTTAGCAACGGGACATGGGCGGGCGCCGGATGTCACGACCTAACGCCGGAAAAGCGATCAGGGCCCGCCCTTGCCCCGCGATTTCCGGAAACTAGTACCTCGGAGGTACTAGTTTTTTACCTCGCATCTTCGGCGGGAAGCCTCGGGTTCGCCACGGGAGCTCTACGCTTCCCAGATGTGGCGCTGTGATCGCGCCCGGAAAATCCGCCTATCTTCCGTCTCTGTAGCGTGGCTAATGCTCCATGTGACCGCAGCCATCGTAAAGCTTCTGCAGATGTTGGGGAGGGGTACCGTGCACACAGAATTTGCAGCTGGGGACTGACAAATTTGGGATCCCGCCGCCTCCTTTTGGGGGACAGCAGTGTGGTGGGAATGGTGCCGCGGAGGACAAATGAAACCAATCCGCCTCAAGCCTTTAAAAAGAAAGGCAAACTACAGCCAGTGAGGTGTCGTGGTCAGAACGTCAGACTAGGATCTACGAGATCCAGGTTCGAATCCCCCACTCTGCCACAGAAAGCTCACTGGGGGGCCCTGAGCCAGTCACACACTCTCTGCCTAACTGACCTCACGGGATTGTTGCGAGGGTAAAATGGAGAGGCGGGGAACCATGTAAGCCGCTTCATGTCCTCACTGGGGAGTAAAGCGCGGCATAAACAAAGCAGATAAAACAACAAACCAATGAAGTAATAAACTAAAATCCATAAATGTCCGCTATGTCAGATGGAGACTTTATCGGTACCAGTTAAGTGTTCAAGTTCTGCAGCTCTACAAGTGACCCCCCCTGATCCCAGCACAGCCCTCCTGTTCTTAAACTCTTTGGATTTCGAGCCCGACCACGTAAGCTGAGACCTGCACCCTGCCTCGTCGCCCTGCTGACTCACCGTAGGGGTGGCCCGCGAGCCACATGGAGGGGCTACCGGTCCTCGGTAACCAGGGGTGGGCCGCCAAGTGTGCGGCAGGATCGGCCGACCATCGCCCTGAGCCGGTCAGGGGAGGCCCTCCAGTCACCATGAGGTTGGAGTTCAAGCCGTTGGCGGCACAGCCGGCGGGATGGATCCGAGCAAAGTCGGCCAGCTCTTTGCTTTCTCTGCAGGAAAAGGGGGAAAGTGAGGGGATTGAGACGCCGGGCATATTTTTTTTGGATGGATACCCCCCCAAAAAAAGTATTGCAAGGTGTGAATAAATGCCAAACACAATAACCATGAGTGCAACATGCCTGACTGGGAGGGGAACAATTTTGGAGCTCATTCCACCAGGTAGGAGCCGCCACTGAGTAGGCCCTGGCCCTGGTTGCAGCAAGCCAGGCCTCCTTGGGGCCTGGAATCACTAGGCGATGTTGTGCCCCAGACTGTAGTGCTCTTTGGGGTATATATGGGGAAAGGCGGTCCCTCAGGTATGTCGGACCCTGGCCATATAGGGCTTTAAAGGTAAGAACCAGCACTTTGAAACGAACCCGGTACGCTATCGGCAGCCAGTGCAGCGCTTTCAGCACAGGCCAGATGTGCTCCCAACTAGGGAGACCCACCAACAGCCTGGCCGCCGCATTCTGCACTAGCTGCAGCTTCCGGATTTGCGACAGAGGCAGCCCCATGTAGAGAGCGTTACAGTAGTCTAGCCTCGAGGTGACCGTTGCGTGGATCACTGTAGCCAGGTCGTCGCGGTCGAGGAAGGGAGCCAACTTCCGAATCAGCCTAAGATGGTAAAAGGCCGACCTGGCAGTGGCTGCTACCTGGGCCTCCATAGTTAATATCTCCTTCCGTACGGATCTATCAGAACTCTCAGAGTTCTGCCCCCCCCCCGCTCTGTCTAAGGTGTGGCGGTTCGGAACACTAGACAGGGACATTCGGTCATGGTGCCACAGTTTATGAAAACACCCTTTTGTGGAATGTCCAGGGAACGGTGAACAAGTGCTTATTTCAGAGGCCTTCTGGGTCTCCTGGTACGGTTCATTTTCATCCTCTCCTCTCCCGTTGCTGCTCTAGCTACACATGATTGTTTGCAAAACAACTTATTCCTTTTAGACCGTCATTTTGCGTAATCTGCCTTGAGTCCCAGTGAGAAAGGCGGGCCGCAAATACTGCAAATAAATATCGGAAGGTCTTTGGGCTGAATCCAAAGAGGGGAAAGACAGAAGGTGAGAAACGGCACCCCTTGATTGGGTTCCCCTGAAAATACAAAAGCCACATGCAATGGTATATCTAGGGATGCAAGAAGCTGGGAAACTCCCAAGGGCCGTCGGGGAGAGATCCTAAATGTCTATGGGCCTCCTCTGGATTTCCACACTGATGGTGTTAGAATCATAGAGTTGGAAGGGACCTCCAGGGTCATCTAGTCCAACCCCCTGCACAATGCAAGGAATTCACAAATACCTCCCCCTCCACTCACCCCATCTCCACGCCCAGAAGATGACCAAAAACCTCCAGGATCCCCGGCCAAACTGGCCTGGGAGAAAAATGGCTTCCTGACCCTAAAGTGGCGGTCCAGGTTTCCCTGGGCACATAAGGGACGGGGGCCTCTCTCCAAGGGGAAATGACGTGCTACCAACACTCAGATGTTGATGTTCATTTTCCGCCTCCACCTAGAGGGTAAAGCACGTCTCAGGATGCTCCGAATAAAGCCCCCACCCCCCAGAAGAGTCACCTGAGCATCTTCTCCTGGTCTCGTTCCAGACAACTGGCCAAGAGGTGGCTATGCCGATGGCGTGGCCGGTCATCCCCGCAGTCTTCGTCCGAGCGCCCGTGCCCTAGAGTCCAAAGGAACTACAGTTGTCACAAACAGCCAAGGCCGGTTGCTCGCAGAAATTCAGGGAGGGCACCGAGAATTCCCCGACAGGCGAATCCGAGTTCTTTTCTGGTACTCTCGGAACGACAATCCCCAGAATTCCTCTGGGAAAAGGGAAGCAGGGCGAGTTGTGCAGCAAGCTTGTTGCTAGTCACTCCACAAGCACTGGCCAATGCATGCTGCGCAACCCATCATACAGGCACCTTTGGAGGTGGGGGTCGGGTGGGAATTCAGCCATCAGGGCAAAAACCTGAACTCAAAACATAAGGTTTCCACAACAAAACAGAGCCTTGAGTGATGACGTGCAGACAAGATTTAAAAAGGGGCCGGGGAGGTAAGATGAATTTGGGGTGTTTAATTTGGGCAGGGGACACTGGGCGCCCGAACTCTTGAAACCCCGCACCCTGAAAAATCTTGCAGGTCTCTAAACGTGCTCCTGGAATTGAATCTAGCATGCCTTTCCTAATTCTGATATATCAGGGCTATTTTTGGGCAGGAACGCACAGGAACAGAGTTCCGGCTGGCTCCCGAGTTGGCCACACCCAGCAGGAACTCATTAGCATAACAGGCCCCACCCAACAGCAGAAACTCATTAGGACTGGCTACATTAGGGGTGTGTGGCCTAACATGCAAAAGAGTTCCTGCTATAAAAAAGCCCTGGGTTTTGACAACAAACAAGGTAAACAGAATAACAAGCAAAAGGTGGGTGTGGCTGGATGACCACACTTCTGCGAACATGGGGGTGTGGCCTAATATGCCAATGAGCTGTGCTGTCAGGGGTGTGGCCTATTATGCTAATGGGTTTCTGCTGTTAGGTGTGGCCTATTATGCTAATGAGTTCCTGCTGGGCTTTTTCTACAAAAAAAGCTCTGCTGATATTAATTCGGGGGGGGGGAGGGGAGAGGTTAAGAAACTAGGAGCAAAGAGCATTAAACCCCTGCTCAAATCTCCTTCCAGCCATGACTTTTTCTATCCATCCTTAAATGAGCCACAGTTCCCACTCAGCCGCCATCCGCAATATGGATCTGCTTTGCCAAGACGGAGTTGCTCTCAGCACTTTGCATGCGGGTATTCCATTTTCCTCGTACATTTTCACTCTACCTGTCCTCCGAGGCCGCACAACGTCCCCATCACCCAGAAGTGATGTCATAGTGTCGCCGATGCCGGGGGGGTGACACTCTACGTTTTGGGCAACCTCTATGGTTTTGAAGGGGGGGGAACCATAGAGTTTTGCCCAAAAACTAGAGTGTCACCCTGACGTCAGCGACGCAGTAACATCACTTCTGGGGGACATTGTCGTCCCACCGAGCCCCCACTGGATGCACGTCGAGGGGTGACACTCTACGTTTTGGGCGAACTCTATGGTTTCAAAGGGGAAGAAACCCATAGAGTTTTGCACAAAAACTAGAGTGTCACCCTGACGTCAGCGACGCAGTGACGTCACTTCCGGGTGACACTGTCGTCCCGCCGAGCCCCCACTGGATGCAAGGTAGGACAGGTCCACCCTAACTCTATGGTCTTGTACCCCACTGAGGTCCCTGTCCTCCCCACGCTCCACCCCCAAATCTCCAGGATCTAGCAACCCTGCCCCCATAGCCCCCCACGGTGTGGGGGGGGGGCTAGCAACCCTAGTTTAGGCTGGAAGCATGTGACTGGCCCATGCTCTCCCAGCAAACTTTGGAGGAGGATGGGGATTTGAACCTGGGCACATTGCGTGGGGGACACTGTAGCATTTGGGTAAAAACTCTACGGTTACCATAGAGTTTTAAAACTCAAATGCTAGAGCGTCCCCTGAACGATGTGCCCGACGTGACGATGTCACTTCTGGGTGACGTCATCACAGCATGCACGCCAGAAGAGCCTGGGAGACAGGCTGGTGCCTCCCGCAAGGACGCAGTTAAGACCTGGCAACCCTATTGGGAAACTCCTAGAGATTTGGGGACGGAGTCTGGGGAGGACAGGGGGCCCAGTGGGGTACAAGGCCATAGAGAGTCCACCCTCCAGAGCATCCATTTTTTCCATGGGAACTGATCTCTGACATCTGGAGATGGGCTGTAATTCTAGGGTCCCGCCTAGATGCTAGCATTCTATCTCTAAGGTTCTACCAGACTAAAATCTAGTAGTTCCGGGGGTCATTTCCTACAGGAGCGCACAGGAGCGGAGCTCTGGCAGTAAAGAGCCCAGGGGGCAGGCACATGCAACAAGCCCCGCCCCCTGCTCCTTCTCTCCCTCTTTCTTTCCCTCCTTCTTTCCTTCTGCTTCTTTCCTTCTTTTTCTTTCCTTCTTTTTCTTTCCTTCTTTTCCTCCTTTTTTCCTTCTTTCTTTCCCTCCTTCTTTCCCTGTTTCCCTCCTTCTTTCCATCTCTCCCTCTTTCTTTCCCTCTTTCTCTCCTTTCTCTCT